CCCCGAGAGTGACCCCGTGCCCCGAGTGCCGAGGCGAGGAGGGTGACCTCCTGTCCTGTGTCTGCTCTGCTAGGTCTTGGTCTGCCTCTGATTCTTCTGCCCAGGTATGGAAAAATGTCCCCTATTTATCCGGCTGCTCTTATCCTGGGGAGGTACCGTACTGCTTCTCTTTTCTTGGTGTCACTTCTTCCGGCCGTGACAAAGGGCGCGAATACTTTCTCCAAGGGTAAACACAAGCTCGGTGTTGTAGGCGCGAAGCAGCTGTTTCCTCTGGTGCTGTAGATGCAGGAGATCTGGGACAGCGAGGCGTAGCCTTTGTTCAGCAAGGGTGGAAGTGTGAACTGCTACCTTCCGGATTGGCAAGAAGGCGTGAAGCAACACCTATCCAGTAGAGCATATTGTTGACAGAGAGGCTATGTAGAGAGAGGAGGGGAAAAAGAGGGAGGAGGGGAAGAGAAAGGAAGAGAGAAAGGGGGTGAGACCTTCCGGATTGGCAAGGAATCCTCAGAAAACTGAGGAGAGAGAGAGGGAACGTAAGGTTGGAGAGGAAAGAAAGAAAAAAAGGAAGGGCGAGTTGAAAAGAGGAAGAATGAATTATTGAGAAGAAGAGAGTTCGTTCTGCGTCTTGTTTACCCCTTCTCTTTCTTTCTCCCTATCTCCCTCGCTTTCTTCTCCCTTTCTCTCTCTCTCTCTCTCAAGACATTTTTTATTTTGATACTGATTGTGTGTGTGTGTGTGTGTGTGTGTGTGTGTGTGTGTGTGTGTGTGTGTGTGTGTGTGTGTGTGTGTGTGTGTGTGTGTGTGTGTGTGTGTGTGTGTGAAAATGAAACTAGCCACAATGAGAATTGAAAATAAGCGTGACGCTTCGAACTCTTGACGAGATAAAAACCGAAATGGTTTTTGTCTGAAGAGGAACTCGTGAAGAGTACGAAACGTCACGCTTATTTTCAAGTCTCATTGTGGCTAGTTTCATTTTCATTTTTGTGTACGTACACGATATTGTGTTTGTGCTTATGTTTATACACACACACACACACACACACACACACACACACACACACACACACACACACACACACCATACATATATATATATATATATATATATATATATATATATATATATATATATATATATGTAATATGTATGTATGTATATGACAAGTCATTTCGATGAGTGTATTAATGAGAACAAACATGTTAAGAGGTACAATGTAAACCCGAGTACTGATCGTAATGGAAACATAACATATATATGTGAAACAGATGATGACGAAGTGGCAAAACTATGAGTAGCAAATAGTTAAGGTGACTAATCCCCGCATAGTAATGGATGAAAATGAAGTGGCACTGCTAGACCTCTCCCCTCTCGCGGGAGATGTACCACCTACTCCCGTGAAAATGTCCCTTCACATGCCATAGGTAACCAAATGTTCCCAGAAACGTGTAACAGACAGATTGTAAGGGTGTCTGTGTGAAGGGGCCTCTCAAAAATGCATCGTCCAAATGGTGATGCCCGTGAAGCGGACGAAGAGATTAAGGGCCGGGACAGGTGGGCCCTGTTCACCCCCAAAACAATAAAACAAAAAATAACTGGGTTCCCTTAAAAGCCCACAAGGAAGTGTGGGTCTGCCAAGGGGTCAGTGTGGTGATGCATGATTTTACTCTCTGTATATGCAGTATCAACGTTCACTGTTTTGCAACACCTAGCTTCCATTAAAACAGGCAAGTAATAAGTTCAGGTACAACCTCATCTCTGGTTCGACGCCATCTCACTGTAAGATCCATGGGGGACACGTGAAACACAAGTTCAGACTTAACACTCGTTTTATTTAGGCGAACCCTCCCCCTTATATCGGCGGGAGGGACAAA